GGGAGGCCGCAGGGCCGAGCCCCCACCTCGATCGCTTCCCAACAGCTTGCGCTTGTCATTCCTGCAGGGCTGCCGGGTCGGAAGGAGTCTGGTGTAGTGCTTAAATCAGAGGCAGCCTCCACGCTGAACGCTACCAGTATCCACTAATGCCTGGTAGCGCGCTGGTCCCCAGTCCCCTATGAATTCATCACTGCCGCCTTCTCCTTCGCCTCAGGTAAAAAATGAAAGTACAGTTAACAATCAGAGCGCTCTATCTTTAACATGAAATTACTCATTGTACCGCTGACGGTTTCAGTCAAGGACCACAGGTGGTGTGACAAGCGTGAGGAACTTTTTGGAATGGTCTCTGTTTATAATATAAAAATATTTTAACTTAAATTAAAACTTCGAGTTTATTATCAGAGAATTTGTTGCTGCGTCTTTATGTTGAAATGCGTTCCATGTGTTACCTTTTATAGAAACTTAGCCCAAGCCTTGAGAACAGCACCATTCAGAAACAGAGGCAAGAACTCCATCTTTTAATTGCAGAACTGAAAGATCGTGATAAGGAACTCAATGACATGGTTGCAGTGCATCAGAGACAGCTTCTAGCCTGGGAAGATGACCGGCAAAAAATACTGACTTTAGCAGAACGATGCAGCTTATTAAACAGTAAGTATTGTGTGTATAAAGAATAAGACCCTGGTCTTTTAAGTATGTTCAGGTGCTTAAATCCCTCAGTAACAGTTTTGTGTCATACAAGGAACCATTTCCTACCCTTCAGCCTTTAATTTGGTTGTCTTTTCAAGATCAAAACTTCCATGATGGTACTAAAGTGATCTGATCTTGAAGGGGATATGATAATCGGATAGCTCTTTCTCATCTGGATATGTAAATTGCTTCTGTGGACTCTTTAAAAATAAATCTGGTGAAATAAAAGTGGGGGCAGAGAACAATTTGCAAACGTGCTGGTGTACTGCAGAGCCCTGTGCCCTGAGGTTCTGCTGCACAGCTCTGACATCATCTGCAAGCCATCACCTGGCAGCTCTGAACAGTCTTGTTTGACAGCCATAGTACAGAGGTCACCACAGAGTTCGTATTCCATCTGACCTGGGTAGCTAGGGAATCCTGCTTCAGAGTATCCAATGCGAGCATCCATTTCTGAATTGCATGGTTTTGAAACACTGCATTAAATTATTTCTGAGATTTAAAAAATTGCATGACAGTATCTGAGCTGTTTTCTCACAGATACCTTGTGTCCCTTCTTTTCAGATGAGCTGAACAAGAGAAATGAAGTTATAAAATCACTGACCAAAAGGTTAAAGTTCTTAGAATCTCAGCAGAATGACAGTAAGACAACATTTGAAAATACACAACGGAAGTTTAAAGAGCTGTCTCAAAAAGTAACAGATGCAACTGTTCACTGTCAGGCTCTGGAGGTAGGAGTTGAGTAATGGTCTGATTTTGCAGTCCATGCATGTACAGAATGCCAGTGGCATTTGTGAGTTTCACTAGTGAATAATTATTTCATATTAAGGCTCTTGAGTTTAGTACAGTAATATTAGGTTAAGGTATAGCTCTGATTTGTTGGGGGAAAAAAAAAAAGGGCAAAAAAGCTTTCCTAAGCTAGGATTTGGAGTTTGCTGCTTGTTTGCTTAGTTTTGGGGAACAGTGCTCAGAACCAACTTGCCTTCAAAAATGTCAGGCACTGTGATTGCAAAAGGCAGTGTTGGCCCTTGGAACAGTACTGGTACTTGCTTGGGAAGTTTCAGGAAGTCTTATTTACAGCTCTGATTACTATGATGAACTGTAACATTCTGAAAACGGTTTAAGGATATGAAAATAAAAAGGTATTCAAGGATTCTAGATTTTTTTTTTAAAGTGTTTTGGCAATTATGTGTTTATTGGGATAATTTTTTCCCCTGTATGCAATACAGTAAAGCAGTATTGTGCACTTTCACCTGTCTAATCGGCGTGACTTAAGACATGCAGGATATTAAGATCCTTGATTGCAAGCAAGTTTGGTTGTAACGAATTGGGGAACAACTTTTACTCCAGTCCTCTTTTTTCCAGATCCTCACAGCTTGCTTAGAATCCCACATTACCATTCATGATGTTTAAATGAAGTTGTGCATACATTTACTGGAAAAATAGTGACTTTGAATCATTGGAGTAGTAGCTGACACTCTTATTTCTGTTCACTAGGAGAAAAATCAAAGTCTCCACTGCTCCGTTTTGGAACTGTCTGCTAAAACAGGCCAGCTGCAAGCGAGAGAACAGGAGCTACTTACTATGCTTAAGCTGAAGGTAACATCTGTCATCTCATCAGACACTAAATGTGGTCAAACTGCAGTGCAGTTATTGGTGACTGTACCGCAGTGGTTTAGTCACCGTTGATCTCACTGCTGTGTAATTCTTAGGCTTTTTTGAGAAGGGAAAAGTGGTCAGCAAACAATAAACTGGTTTATTTTCATAAACAAGCTTGTTTCCTGGCTTTGATTTATTTATTTATTTTCTCAAGCGCTCGGAAGAAAATCTGTGAAGTAGCTATAACTACTGCAGTAAGATGTACTGTTGTTTTGTCAAAATCCATAGATGAAGATAAAACAATAATCCGGAATACATTCTGTTTCATATTTCAGGACGAGGCTATACTTGAAACAACCGATCACATTACTGAGTTTACATCTAAATTCAAAAAGCTGGAAAGTGCATTGCATGCAGCAAAGGCGGAGGAATTCAGTCTCAACAAAGAAAAACAAGACCTCAAACTGAGACTGAAAGAATTAATACTTGAAACAAATAAGCTGAAAGGTAAATGTTTATACTGGGCACCTAATTTAGTGTAGACCAGCATGATTCCTTTTCATTCTGGGAAATACTACATTTTGTTTTAAAGATGACCTCTGTGAAAAGATGAAAGAAAATAATAAGCAGCAGGAAGAAATCACTCACCTCAAACAAGAAAATGGCTGCTTGAGGAATGAGCTCACACTTATTGGTAAGTGTGGGCAGTTGGCTTTTCATGCCGTAGCTTTCAACAGCTCAGAGACTTCTAGACAACAACAGTTCACTAATATCTGTGAAGGAGGCAGCTTCTTACCTACCTTTCTTGCAGTTTAATAAAGGTATATGCCTTTGTGTGTCATTCTTCTATGAAAGCAATATCTAGGGCTTCTGCAGGGACAGTTTATAAAATCTTGTAAAAGCACAAAGTTCAATTTGTACAGTATGATTATGCATGGAGGAATAAATGGCTCGGAGGATTCTCTCTTGAAAATTTTTGAGACTTTCATGTCTCCTGTGGTATTAATACAATAAATGGGGGTGACATTGTCCCTTCTGACATAGGTTGCATAGGAAATGGTGACCTACTGAAAAGAAGCCACATTCAAAACCTAAAGCTTAGACCATATGAGATTACCAGCCCATCCACTCCCTCTGGTGTTTGTATGGAAGCAGTAGGTTTACAAATTCACTTTTTCTCTTGCTTTTCTTTAACTGATGGTTTTGGTTTCAGCTGGTTTAATACGCAGGGCTTGGTAAACTGCAGCTTCCTATCTGTTGATATCTTTGCTTTGGTTTTGGGTAGAGAGGAACTCTTCTGTGCTCTAGTGGATAAGAAAGGCAGGCTGATGGTTGCTGCAGTATTCTTACAGACAAGCGATACATACCTTGAAAGATTAGGTGACCAAAGATGTCCTCTGCTGTGAGGTGATTTACTTGCCTGTCACTTTTTATCTGCCATTACCTTTGCCAAATATTGATCCTATATCTCATTATTTTAAAAACAATAGTAATGGGAAGTATTTCCCAGCACTTTCCTGTACAAGGCATGAATTAGAATTAATTGCTGAATTTCCTTTCCATGGAAGAATGTTAACATAAAAAAGTAAAATAAATCAGTCAATAAAGCAGAATATTGCTGCTAGTAAAGTAAAGCTAGGTGCTGGTGAAAAGTCCGAGGAAAATACTTGATCTGCTTAGTTGTCTTACGGTTTTTGTGCTCTTTTTATTTGGAGGGCAAACATCCCATTGATCTTAAGAAAATGCTTTTGTTTTGGTTAGGTACCTGTTTCTACTGCTACAGACATACATGTTAACGAATATACTTGCTTTGTGTCTATTCATTTAAGCAATTAAAAAATTGTATACGTTTTGAAACAGTTGAGAAAGCAAAGAGAAAGGATCAACTTCTTCAGTTTGCCAAGTCAAAACAAGCGCGGACTGACACAGAACTATCAAGTTTGCGACAGGTACAAACCTAATAGTGTTTCTACTCTGAAATTACGAAGGCATTTTTCAATAACATCAGATCTGCATGGAACAGTATAAAAAAGTTAGATCTAGCTATTCTTAATTAAGGAAAAAAAATTCAAATTTGCTGTTTCTGGCTTGCTGGGATCCCTCAGAATGTAGATTTTTTTTTTTTTTTTGGTTAAAATTAAAAACCCGCGGTACAAATCCTTGTATTTACATATGCTTTTGGCCTTTTTTATATAATTGTATTTACTCAGTCCTACAATGAGTAAATACCACCCTCATAACAGTAAAGTGCGGCACCCTGTTAAGATAACAGTTTGTCAGTGTGTGGGCATGACCAGAGAGTGCTAGGCTCGAGAAGTCACGTGAAGGGCAGTGGGAGTGGGGGGGGCTGCCTCGCGCACGTGCCCAAGGTGAACTCAGGCAGTGTAAAGGGGCATGGTGTACTGAAAGATCTGTTTTTCAAGAGACTTAAAACCAGTGTTTTCACCTGCACTCATTTCAGGTTCTCAAGGCACATGCGATTTTTTTTTTTATTGCAAACAGTTGATCGGTATGTTATTTTCTACATTAGCTTTACAAAAAATCCCCTGCAGCAAAAGCCAAATACCATGATCATCATTCATGTCCTGTAATTCTGCATAACTTTGAACAAAATCGTAACAACACGTATTAAATATCAAATAACAGTAACGATACTGTATTTATGGTTCAGTGTGGTTCCATCTTAGCAGAACACTGCAGTCTTCTAATAGAAATACTGTTTATTGCTGCAAAACATTATTTTCCTAAATACATGCAGATGATGGCCCCTTACATTTGGAAGGCTTTGACAATAGTTTGACTGCAGGTATTGGTTTCTAAAAATGTTTTGAGGATATTTTTGGAAGACAAGCAACGTGTTAGTACCTGATGACAATGTTCCTGCGCTCCAGACTTTCACTAATGCGCGTTACTATCTTTAAACAGATCTATGTAAAGCAGCAGCGTGATTTGCAATTTCTTCATGTCAATTTGGAGAGCTCTCAGGAATTAAGGCAAAAGCATGAAAAGGCGGCACATGAAAGAAGGTAAAATAATTTTTTTTCTCTCTTTTTTTTTTTTTTTTTTTAAGTAGTTTACTCTCGGAGAGAGACTTCACTGTTCAGCCACAACTAACATCCTAAAAGAGATGTGTGCTGTGTCAAGATGGCTTTGCTGGACTTAACCACAAACATCCAGTGAAGTTGTCAGCTACCTTTTTTAACTTGGTCAGGAGACACCATGAGTATCAGTCACAGAATAAAGCGTTGTATATATAAGGCCAGACAGTTAATGGTTTTTTAAAAAATGGAATAGTCTGGAGGTAGGGGTGTTAATCTGGCCCACTACTACTTTTGTTTAAAAATCAAAGTTTATTTTGCTTTCAGATTAGGAAATTGGTGCACACCCTGGAGATTCAGACAGAATCACCACACTATATAAAACATAAGGGAACTGTCAGACTGATTTTGGAAAGTAACAGCAAAATCTGGGCAGACTTCTATCGGGTTTTGGCAGGATACAGCTGCCTATTGGTATATGATCTACTGCAGAACCATGGCTACAGCCTCTGGTTAATGTATAGCTTTAACCTTGAGTACAGTTATGTATGCTCTTTAAATGCATTATTTCTGACTGTTTTCTTTATCATGCTATTGTAGCATAGGTATGGCATTCTCTGCCCCTGAAAGTAGCAGCGAGACAGACATGGTTAGGACTGAGGGCACCCATGGGATATGCGAGGAGTGTGGAACTGCACAAGTTCCAAAAAGTAGGGCAAAAACCACCTCTGAGATGCGTGAAGTAGATAATAGACTATTACTGAATGCATCAGACTTGGAGGAAACTACCTCAGCGTACTTAAACCGGTGTCAAAAAGTTGTGAAAGTCTTGGCTGTCCTTACGGAAGAAGAAGAAAAGCAGGATGTTGCATCAATTTCTGATGAGCTAGGCAGCAAAGTATTTTGTGAGGCGAACAACACAAGGCCATTGAGAAACAGGGAAGTTTCTGAGAATGGAGTGGAAAGCAGAGACCAACAAACCTTTGAGTCATCTTTACCCGAATATGAGCATTGGCTTAATGTCGGTTCTTGTGTAGATTCGCAAAGTACTTTGATCCAGAACACCGTCACATCTGACAAAACTGATAATGAAAATAAAACCTGGGAAGAGAGAACTGAAATTCTGTTTGGCCAAAAAACCAGAGAGACTCCTGTTGCAATTCGCAAGTCTGAATCTGATTCCTGTAGTAATAACTTCATCATTAAAAAAGATGCATGGTGGAAGCCAGTATCAGATCTGGAATGGTTGAAGATTTTCAAACCCAAGAAAGGAGATGGAAGTATATGGCATGGAAAAGATTGCAACTGTCACAAGACTGCACAGGAGATGAAATGTGCCAGCTCAAAAAGGTTATGTGCTCGTTACATTTAAGAAATAGATAGGTACAAGCTGGAGTTATGTAGAAACTTGGGTGTACAAGCTCTCAATAATTTGTATTATCTTAAGTGATATTTAAAGTAACTGCTGCTTTAAAATTAGTCTACCAACTTGAACAGTAGTAAATTTAAATAAGTTAAAATAGCTCTAAGGTACCATGATTCTATTTTTATGCATTTATTTTTTCACATCTCTTATCCCCAAGAGCTGCGTGGGTAGGAGAAGCTGCAATACCATGTAACTTGCCAAATAAACTCATTGAGAAAAATGCCAATTTAAAAAATCTTCTGATTTTTTAAAATCCCAGATGTTGCTTGTAAATCTGGTGGGTAAAATATGTTCTGACCAGGGTTGGACTTCTGCAGTGATGTTTCTGTAAGGCAAGAAACAAACCTAGATTTTGTGTGGTGTTTTAGTGACTGTGTTATTTCTGTTGAGAAATCACACGGTGGCTGGGTAAGAATGTAGGACACGGCTCTTCCGCACAGGCTGCTTTCCTCACTCAGGGCAAGAAACTGAGATGGCAGGATTTAAAGGACAGCAATCTGTCCACTCTCCAGTGCATCGTTGTTCATGGGACTCGATCCCTGTGTTTATACAGGGGGAGGAGAAAAGGATGTGGTTGGGGATAAGCAGAATGAGGTTTCTAATGCTGAAAAGTGTTGGAAAAATACTCAGGTGTCTTAGTGGTATTGGAAGGTATCTGAGATATAAATGCTGCTTCGCATTTATAGAAGTGGTTTTATGCCTGCACAAGCAAGGGCGTCAGAGCTGTGACTTTCTGTGGATTTGTTGTGTTGGTTCCTCTATTTCCTTTCAAAAAATTGACTGACTTACCAGCTCCATTTTAGAAGGATTTCTGAAGTTTTACAGAGATGTCATAGCTGCCTTTTAGACAGAGAAGAGAAGGAGTAGCTTTTCAGCTGGTTGTTTGGCAAGTACAGTGAATGAACAGCTGTTTAAACCTGCTAAGAATTTTAGGCAGCAGGTCTGCCCAACGTCCAAACAAATTAATGTTATGGAATGGAAATATCTGATGTACGGATGCTTTCATTCTGTGTTGCTTTTAAAACAAAAATATTATAGAAATTGTTACTGCAGTGAGACAGACCTGTTCAGAAACAAGGTGAATGGGCAGCCATTGAAAAAGAATGCTGTCCCGGCACATTCCGACACGGCTTAGCTGAGCTTCACACTGTGTGTGGACTCTCTCTAGTTTCCACTGTCCAGACTCCATTCCCCTTACATCTGCCCTGACCTTTCTTATCTACTCCCCCAGCAGCATGAATGACACACTGCCATCCCTCCAAATCTGTTTTGAGGCTGAATCATGAAAACTGCTTTCACTTTTTGTCTTGTCCTTAAGGGGATTTTAGGGGAGAAGGAACAAATTCAACCCAGGCAATGCAGGTAGAGCAGATATCCTTCAGTAAGGGAGGGCTGCTCTACCCATTTGGGATTTGCTGCCGAGCTATCAAGTTTTCTTGATGCCCACATTTGGTCCTAGGAGCCCTGCTAATTGGGGATGGATTGACTCGGTGCAAATCCCAGACTGTCTGCTTTCCAGCCTTTGCTGACTCTGATTTGCCACCGAATAAATTCTCGCCCCACAAATGGGAGGAAGTAGTATTGCAGTCTTCAGTGTGGGCTTCTTGTTAATGGCAGAGACCAAACACCACATTCCTTCTGGGACTTGAATCTGGATCCTCCAGTTTTCCATTGCTGGC